ATATATATATATTCAATATATATATATATATATATTCAATATATATATATATATATATATATATATATATATTCAACAGTTCATTGTGTAATGTGTAGCAAAGAAAACTTGTACAAGAAAACACCAAGAGTCAGATGTGAGGTAGAGTTACTGCATTAATAGCAGACTTGAATACTGAGCCAAAAGACTCAGAGTCCAAGACCTACCCCACCCCAAACAACCACCCCCTCCACATATGGGGAGGGACAAGTGAAATAAACAACCGTTTTTAAAGCACAAAGGCCAACACCCTCCCTGTACACCACTTACTTGAGGGCTGTTCTGTAGTGGTAGATGGCTTCCTTGTTCCGACCTTGGTCCTTCAGGAAATTGGCATAGTTGTAGTGAACCTTGGCATTGTGGGGCAGAGTTTGAACTCCAGACCTAAAATGAATAAATTGTTCAAAAAGCAACCAAGAATATTATTGTCAGATTCCTTTATGTTTTACTCAGTCTCATGAATCTGTATTTGAAATGTCCATTGTATTCTAAGAATAAGGCATTGTAACCTAAAATAAGGCTTCCAAAATTTATGAATTATATAATTTATTAAACATTGTTTTGGATAGAAAACCCTGAAGGCAGTATACTGTTATGCATAGTTGAACAAACATGCTAACTGTGTATGAACAAAATGCCCTTAGCATATAAACATAGGGCCTTTGATGTACCAAACACACAGCTGGAGCCTGGGTGAGACTCTGTCGCTCCTTTTGAGGCTTTCTTTTGGGAGTGTAGCAGGGCCCAGTGGTAGATCTGAAAGCACACTGTGCAGCAACACACACACACAACCTTGCCATTAACAGGCCAGACTGGCTTTTCCAATTTAGGGTGCAGGGAGCAGAAGATGCACCCACAGTGGGGCTGCTGCACAGTGAGGCCCTGCCAAGGCTGATGACTAACACTCTTCCTTCTAGGGAGAACTGCAGCATTAGGCTAGCCCTTTCTTCCTGCATCTGTCTGCTGAGCAGTCTTCTTTTTCATGAAGACTTGATGGAATAGCCTAAGCAACCTCTGAGTGCACAATAATGAACCAGAGACAAAAAAGATTTAATGGTTTTCATAAGATGAGAACAGCTCATAACCACAACGTGCTCTGCAAAACATGAGATGTAGCATGCAGTGTCTATTCTCTGGCTTCTTTTCCTTTATTCTTTCCCACCATTCTTGTTTCCTTCGATGTGGAAACCCATGCAACTGGTTAGACTCTCTGTCACTCCCCTCCCATCTACCAGGTCATCGCTGCCTCCTTGGTATTGCACAGTTCTCGGGGGTGCTATGTTGAAACAAAAACGCATTCCAGACCTGGCAGCGTGCATTATTAGTTACTGAACAATGGAGGGTGAAAAGAGTCAGGCTTATTTGAGATAATTATGACATGTCAGGCCCTCATATAATCTGTATGAATGAAAGTGGTGGAAAAAAGACAAAAGTCAATGTAGGCCCAAGCAGAATCATGAAAAAGGATACATTTCAGAAGTGAGATGGCTTGATGAAATCAGTGTGCAAGCATTTCTCTAAGCCAAAGTAAATGCTACAGTTGTTTCTAATTGGTGTGTGCACACAGACAGACAAAGCTCTGGTGCCTCTTCCTCATTTTATATGGGCACCACCCCTACTGGATCAGGGCCTCACCCTTGTGACCACATTTAACCCTCATCACTTTCTCACAGGCCCTACATCCAGCAACAGTGATAGAGTCCCTTCAGTACCACACACTATGCCAGGTGCTGGGGATACAATATGGTTAGAGTCCCCGCCTGCAAGGAGCTTACGAGGGTGAAGTATGTAGAGAGGACTACAAAATGATGTGTAACAATAAGTGAGCAGGGTTATCAAGAAAGCACAGCATGCTTATCCCAGAATGGGATCAGAGGAGGCTTCCAGGAGGCAGTCATGGTGAAGCTGAGACTTTAAGGATAAGAGGAAATGACGTTAGCCTCTGGAGGAAGAGGCAGCAGAATGTCCTATGCAGAGGGCCCCAAGAAAACAAAGCATGGGGCTTTTGAGGGACTGGAAGAAATTCAGAGTGGCTGGACCATCAAAGGCTAAGTCTGAGAATGGAGAGAATCTAATGGGCCCTGTAAATCACATTGGAGACTTCTGGGGGGTTATCTGAAGAGCAGCAGGGAATCAGCGCAGAGTCTCCAACAGAGATGTAAAGGACAGGGTAGCAAGTGAGAAGGACTGGGCAGTCTTCTGGATGCAGTGCATGGAGACCTCATGGGGAGCTGCTGAGGAACTTCAGAGAGGAGAGGAGAGGGAAAGGGAGGGGATAGGAGTGGAGCAGCGAGGAGATGAAAGAAAGACAGAGAACAGTCATAACTTCAGCAGGGGCCACGGGGAGGAACAGAAGGATTCAGGAGACATCCAGGAGGCAGAGGTGGTAGATGGCAAGACATGGTAACAACTGATTCTTTGGAGAGAACAGCCCTGCATGTTCACATCAATTCGTTTTTTTCCTTCCACCCTTCATTCATTCACTTAAAGATTTCCTTCTTTTTTTTTATTTTTTAAAATATTGTGATTGTCTACCAAAATAAATAATTACAAAAAGGATCACTATAGACTGGCCTCCCTACAAATAAATTTTATTGGAAATTAACCTTTTCCTATACTAAGCCTGGGCTAGTTTTTAAAAAAACTAAATGCAGATATAATTATTCTACAGATAAGAAAATGAGGCTTTGCTCAGAGACATTAAAAACCTTGTTTAGATGATCAATGTATTGGTCTGCTCAGGCTGCCATGACAAAGCACAAAACCTATAGACTGGGTGGCTTAAACAACAGGCATTTATTTCTCACAATTCTGGAGGCTAGAAGTTCAAAATCAAAGTTATGGCTGATTTGGTTTCTTAGGAGGGTTCTCTTCCTGCCTCGCAGATGATCGCATTCTGGCTGTGACCCATATGGCCTTCCACGGTGTGTGCACGCAGACAGAAAAAGCTCTGGTGCCTCTTCCTCACTTTATATGGGCACCACCCCTACTGGATTAGGGTCTCACCCTTGTGACCACATTTATCCCTCATCACTTTCTCACAGGCCCTACATCCAGATACAGTGAAACTGGAGGCTACAGCTTCAACACATGAATTTGAAGGGATGCAAAGATTCAGTCTGTATCAATCACTGAAGCTTAAGCTCTTAATCATGAGGGAGGGCATACTGTTCACAAGTCAGCAGCAAGAGTAAGGCTATCCAAATGCCACTGAGTAGCTGTGACTACCAGGTTTACGTTCTGCTTGATGCTTGTCTACCCTGGGGCCCATCTGCCTAGGGTGACATCAACAATTTGAAGATGATACAAGGAGAGGTGGGAGCAGGAAGGGATTGCTATGTTGTTTGTAGCTGCTTCAGAAACAAGGTATACAAGATCACACAGCTGGCAAGTGGCAGGGATGGGACTTAGACCTAAGGAGTTTGGTTCTAGAGTTTCTGTTCCGTCACTTGAAGGAAGGTGGTAGAGGGAATGATAAAATATAGACAGATGGGTTTGAAGGCTATCTGAAAACAAAACAAAACAAAACAAAACAAACAAGATGCCTGCAACTTATTTTGGATTAAATGGATAGGCAGACAACTGATGAGAGAGAAGGACATCAGGATGAATCTAGTTTCTGGGTAGTTGTACTTTAATGCACTAACTCTCTCAGATTACATATTTACATGTAATTTTTAACTTAAAGGTCAGATTAATAGGAGAATTCCACACAACATGTTAAAGCATGTTGGGGAAGTATGTTAGGACAATTTAACTTTTGTGGAGCTTTTGTTGAAATAACAGCCCCTGAACACCTAGCAAAGACCACCCCACTAAAACCCAGAGGCTGGGAGTTTCAGGACCTCTCCAGAGGAGAGATCTGATGGGCACCTGTGAAGTCAAATAACAAGCTGAAAGAAACAGATCATCTGAAAGCAGCAGACCCCACACCTACATACAGCCACATCAGAGATTTAAAACGCACCACAGTGAACGTGGGAGTGCAGCTATCTCTTTGAGAGACTGATTACATTTATATTGGGTAAATACTCAGAGGAAGGATTGCTGGATCACATGATAATTCTATTTTTTATTTCTTAAAGACCCTCCATATTGTTGTGCATAATGACTGTACAAATTTACATTCCCATCAACAATGTACAAAGGTTCCCTTGTTTCCGTATCCTCCCCAACACTCGTTATCTCTTGTGTTTTTGATAATGGCCATTGTAACAGGTAAGGGTAGTATGTTATTGTGGTCTTGACCTGCGTTTCTCTGATGATTAGTGATGCTGAGCACCTATTCATATACCTGTTGACCATTTGCTTGTCTTCCTTTCAAAGAGGTCTATTCAGGTCCTTTGCCCAATTTTAATCATATTAGTTGTGGGTTTTGTTTTGCAATTTAGTTGTGTGGGTTGCTTACATATTTTGGATATTAACCCCTCGTTGATATACAGTTTGCCAATATTTCATCCCAATCCACAGCTGTCTTTTCAGCTGTTTGCTTGTTTCCTTTGCTGTGTAGAAGTGTTTTAGTTTGATGCAGTCCCATTTGTGTATCTGTGCCTTTGTTGCCTACACTCCTTATGGCCTTATGAGAACCTGTGCTAAATGGAATCAGAATCCTCGCACTACACAGAACAGGAGGACCCAAAAGATCCCTGGTAATAAGTTCACTCCCTTTGTCTTCCTCTCATTTTAAAGAGGAGAGAGCCAAGCCTCAGAGAGGAGCAGTGGTCCAGTCATAAGTGACAGTATTGCATTTCCACAACAGCCAAAGGCATTTCCTATATAGATTGTGGATAGTTCCTTTTGGGGGTGGGTGCTAAAATACTAACCCTATCTTTCATTTATGATACCTTTATGGTTTTAAAAAATCTCCTTATTTGAATGTTAAAAAGTAACTAAAATGTATGACAGATAGCTAGGATTTTAATATAATTTTTCAATAACAGCATCCAACCTAAATTTAGTCATATCAGCAAGATCCAGGTAAGCGTGTTAGCAATGGCTTCAATAATCAAATTTCTATTAAGGAAAATTTCTGACTTTTTCTATCTAGAACTAAATAGTGCATACTAGCAGTAAGTTTTGAAGGTAACCATGATTATAGCAATTAATACAACTGGCATAATTATTGAAATTGATCGTTTCCTCTGTGTGATTAACACAGTAATTCTGATTTATGTCTCACCAGAGAAATAGACAATTGGGCCTGTGGAAACATGGTCCTTGCTGAGATCAGAGCATTGTTTCATGACGGCAGGAGGAAGTAATAATGTTCCTAACAGGCAAACAGAAGTGGGTGGAGTCACTCAAATCCTAAGAACACACTGCTTTTTCCATTGTTGTTTTTGACCTTTATGTTCTCTCTGTGATACTTTTCTGCTATGTTTTTC